AGGTTCTTCAGGTATTTCCAAGTAACCCTAACAATAAATCCCAACCCAAACTAAATTCCATTCCCTGCAAGCCGAAACAGTTTAATGCTAGAATATACTGCATTAAAATCAGTTTTCCTGTTCATTTTAGTTCATAAAGTTACTTTACAAAAGATGCTGAAATTTTGGTTTGGCTTATACTGAAGTCTCCCACTGGGAATAGTTTATGAGGGCAAATCTATTTGTAAAGGTTCTCTTATTAGCAGAGTTAGTGTGGCCTAACAACAAACGCAAATTGTCACATAAAATTCATTTGAGCTCCAGAGGAAGGAAGCTCTGTGCTGTGTGAAGGTGGGGTCAGACAAACTGATCACAACTCAGACGACAAACAATGAGAAGAGCCTCGATTTTGGTGGTATCAGGAGTTAGGCCATCACGATTCTTTTTGCCCTATGGCGGTAAAATCACTACTCCCATCTGTTATGATGGATGCTGTATGTCCAGTTTGCAAGGGTTAATTGAAGTGTGCAGACAGACAGCAGCATGGTATTTGGCTCCAGCTAGAGGGAATGGAGTAATGCCCTAATGCCCATGGGAACCTGAATACGGGAGACAGGGAAGAGGGGAATCAAAGTACAGAGTACGGTCTTGGATCATCAGCTTGTACTGTGAACTTTGTAAGGATGTTGAGAAATTGTTCATTGCTAACTTCTTCAGATGGTTACTGAGTGCAAAGCAGAGCAGAGCAGCAAATGTGAGGCCCTGCTAATGCACTGATGTGAGGAAGATGTGAGGCAAGGGAAATGCAGAGCTCTGAGGAGCAGGCAAAAACCTTCTTACAGAAGTCTTGTGGATTTTTGTTTGTTTGTTTTCCTCACTTCATTTATTCTGTTTGCCTTGTTGTGTGATTGGTTGGGGTAGCTGTGTAGTGCAGCATGGGAACTCACCTTGGTTGAGTGCCAGTGATGGAGCATAAACCACTATTCCTGTGTAAAGGATCTGGAGGAGAAAGATGAAAAAAAAAACAACAACCTTAATGAAAAAAATGTGTGTGTGAATGCTCAGAGATAATTTTCTATTTAGAAGAGCAAAATACGAGATCTGGGGGTTTCTTTATATCTGTTCTTTTAACTGTATCTGGATTTCTGTTTCAACCTTTACAAAACAAAATCATTGGTTTAATTCCTTTCTGATCAAAGGACCATTATTTGCTTTGGTATTATTTATTTCACCAGTTGCAAAGATGACTAGATGACAAAACTACCTTAGTCAAGCAGAAAGAGGAGCTCTTGGGAAAACACAAACAGTTATACTGAAATAAGGTGCACTGATCTTGGAATAAGGTGCATTGATCTTGGAATTTAAACATCCATTTTTCTATTCAAACTCTTTCAAAGTAGCTGACTCAATGCTCTCACGTGTATGTTCTGACAGAACTGAGGGAGAAACAGAGCCTGAATATAAGTAAGCATTCAAATCTGTTGCTAAGGATTTTGGAATGCTGAAATGGAATTAATGTAGAAAGAAACGTTTTCAAACATCCCATAAAATTCATCTTTCCATCAAATACATAACTATGTGACTTTTTTGAGATGGTACCTCCTGGGTCTGGGTTGGTCCTACCTGGGCATCCCCCCAGGAGATGCCACATGCAACAGCTTTCAAATGGGATACCTTCACCCCGCTATCGGAAATGGTCATTGGTTAACTAAATCTACCCAGTACAGCTCGTTTAGCTTTACAAGAAAGACAGAATCCACTCACTTGGAAAGAGAGACAAGGGAACATAATGAGATCAAGAATTTGACAAGATGTGAGAGTTCAGCAAAACATGCAAGTTTCAAAGACAACAAAAATGGCATTTTTAATCCTAAGCAAGGAAAAGTTAAGAAAGCTAGAAAGTTAGGAAAGCAGCCATTCATTCTTTTTAACATTCACAGTCCAAGTAAAAAAATACAGGGCAAAAGAGTACTCATTAAAACATCTCATTATAGAAAATGTGCAGTCTGAGATTAGCCTGTCAAAAGAAATGTTGGGTGAAATTGGCATAAACAGAGTCAACGGCTTCTCACCGTCTGCAGGATGTAGATCAGTGTTGCAGCAAGACGGACGATCTTGTTAAATCTTAACTCCAAATACTAGGGAAAAAGAGGAATTTCAGTAAATTGCACATGCAGCACCTGTGACACAGCTATTAACCTTTTTGCTATGCAAGTAAAATTACTGGCAGCTGGCACTGCTGCTGTGAGTAATGAGCAGGAGAGCATGATTATTATTACACATAGTGATAATTATATGTGAAAACTCTTCTCATGAGTAACATGTACTTGAAGTTATATGTTGGGTTGCAATATTCAGTATTCTTTGTATTGGGAATAACTGAAAGGAAGAGAAATTTGAACTTCAAATGAAAGTACATTCCAGCTGTATGAAGAGGAAACTTGAGGTCATCTCTAGGAGAAATAGTGTGGTTTGACTTCTGTAATGACCAAGTGGTGGTGGAACAGATGGAGAAGAGGCAACATAGAAGAGCGTTCCACAGTGATTGAGCTAAACTAGTTTTCTTGCTTGCCCTGTCTCGGTCTAAACCCAAATCTGCACATCATCAACACAGAGCAGCAAGTGGAGTTCTTAAGGACATACAGCTACATGTAGGGAAGTGTCTCTAGTTACCACATAACTATAGAGATGAGTAGCTCTCTAGCCCCAAAAGCCCAGCTTTTAAACCTGAGTAACCACTTGGAGCCTCTCGGTAGAGCTGACCAAAAAAAATTACATCTGTGGCAGCATCCCTTCTAACCATGGGTGGTGGGCTGGGTCTCTCCTTGAGCCGTAGTCCCATGGGCTCCCAGAATACTCCAGGCACAGGCTGTACAAGCCTTCTCTCTTTTACAAGCCTCTAGGTATAGTTCTCCAAAGCAGCTTTTTTTTCTATTAATTTTGCTCATTTTCATCTTTCTCATGTTTCTTGCATAATAAGCCCCACAGTCTGCCATACAGATAAATAGCTAATTTATGTAACTTGTTTCTAAAAATAATTCCTCAAGCCAGCAGAGTCATTTTGAGAGCACTCTCTGGGTGCAATGACAGCTTTGGTGGCTCAAATGAGAAGAGTAATTCATTCCCTGATCTTGCACCAAAACCGGCCAAAAAATTTGGTTACTTGTGGCAGTGGCAGCAGATGGTCAATTTTACTTTTTTCCAACCTGGAACTGACTTACATCCAAATACCTAGGCAGAGCTGTTTGACCAAAGCTGCTCCTAGGGTTTGGGCTTAGAGAACATAAGAAGTCTTCCTCTTACTCCTCATGAACTCACTCAACTTTCTTCATCCAATTCTTGCTTGGTTCAAACTGCTCAAGAACAGGAGAGGTCAAATTTGAGCCTGTTGATTAAAGCGACTAAAAGGCTACTCCCAAATGCTCAGTAGCTGCCCTGTGGGTGTGCAGGTGGTTAGGGCTGCACACTGTGCTCTTAGCAGTAACATCACAAGGTTGGCTGTGTATTTTGATTTTTCTCAACTACTGAACTGTCATATGAAGAGAATAAGGTGTTCCAGGAGGAATGCCAAGCAAAACCTCTGGAAAATTCAGAGGTTGTTCGTTTAATTTCATTTCCTAGAGAATACCTGAATTCATTCCCCAGCCCTGAGCTGGTTTGGTTTGGTTTTGCTTGGTTTTGAGAGACCTGCAGCCATCTTCCTCTTTATTCCTTCCTTGCATCACAATGGTTATCAAATATCTACTTGACTATTTTTTTTAGATCTCAAATAGTACACTTTGCTAATAAATTGGACCAAATTGCCAGCTCTAGACCAAGTTTGAGTTGGATCCTATTGAATTTTGTTCTTAATGTCTGTCTTTAATACCTACTCTGCAAAAGCAGGTGTGTGTGTGTATATATATATATATATATATATAGCAGAATAGTTGCTTATAAGACCAGAAGCAGTTGGATACACTTAAAATATTTTTCAGCTACAACTTCCTTTGCTGCTGGTGTGTAATCCTGTCTCCTGTCTTTGTTGTATATGCATGACAGGAGCTCTGACCCTTAATTTGTGCTTTCAACTTATTGCAATATGAATAACCAGTTTGAGTAATGCCACCTGGTTTGAAAAAGAATTAGTGCACTGATATACTTGTTCTGTAAAACACTGCAAAAAATCTTCTGTCAGAGCTTTTTCTCTATGAATATTTATATGCATGACACTGACTTTTATATTAGAATAGTGCCTTTTTAAATTATTTTTACTTACCTCATAAGTGCTTGTAATGCCAGATCTGTAAAATACAGGTAGAAAGAGTTCTGCAGTAAAAATGATGACAAGTGCATATGAAAGAAAGAACAGCACAAAGGATGCCCCATAGCGATAGACTTCAGAGGGTGTCCCCAAAACAGTCACTGCTGACATGAAGCTTGATGTGAGAGAGAAGGCTATTGGTCCACATGTCATCTGCCTACCACCTACCAAAAATTCCTTTGAAGTTTTCTTTTTTCTCTCTTTAACTGCAAAAAAGACTCCAATGCTAGCACAGACTAAAAACAGCCCTGCAAAAACAACATAGTCCCAAGCCACAAATTTTTTGACTTCTGGAGCTACAAAGTTTGACATAGCAGCAGTTGAACAATTCTCTGATGTTGAGGAGTCTGGTTTTCTGCAGCTGTTGTTCTGATCAGATGAACTCACTTGGCAGCAAAGTTGAAGCTTATCTGTAGCTCATCAATGACAAATCATAAGCAGCAAGACTATTCAGCTAGGAGACTTATTTTTTTTTCCCAGTTCACTCCTAAGGAGGAAGAAAAAAGTAGCTAAGAATGAGTTAGGAAGGTGCTGAATGCACTTAGACCCTAGTGCTACTGATGCTTCTGTCAGGCTGGGGCAGCAGATTCAGCTGTGAAATCTGTAGTATGCTCCCTTTTTATCTGTGAGGTGTTAATTTATGGTTAAACATTAGCCTGACACATTGGCTTGATCTGACTCTTTTCTAACCTCTCAGCATTTTTAAATAAGAAAATCAGAGCAGTAAAGAAATAAATAAAGGAGAGCAAATTGAAGGAAAGGTCCATGCACAGAACTGCAACCTCACTGGTAAGTTTGCTTTTAGAGGAGCAATTCCCTCATGTGGTTAAACTAAACTTGAACATCAGCGATAGGGTTCAGAATTGTCCTTCTGCATTTGAAGTGTGCTCTTTGGTGTAGACCCTCTGGAAATCAAGGCTGCCTTAAAGAACCGGAGCCTTTAATTCTCAGAAGTGACCATGGTGCTTTCCCCTCATGCTCTGTAGCCAAGCCTTGGGGTCTTTGTGAGCCCAGGGCAGTTCCACATAAGCAGAAATGCAGTTTGAGCTCCACTGTTTGAGGATAACTTTCAGTTAGAAACTGATTTTTCACTGACCACCACCACCACCAATTTTACCTGCAACTTATATGGGTTCGTGTGGGAGGTGGCTTGTTTTATTTATCCATTTACAACTTGGTCAGACCTGCAGGAGGAGAGGGACAAAGAGAAGATTGAACAATAGCAGTGTTTTTATTTAACTATGTCTTCAGTGTAATTTGTTCAATTCAATTAACTGCATGTCCCTTGTGTGGTTTTGGTTGTGTTGTGCTTGGTTTTGTTTTTTAGTAAGTGGATATTTATTTTATCCCTATCTATGCCATGACTAAATTTTCCAAAGCAGCAGGCAATGACTTGTCATCCTGAAGGATTAACTTGTTCAAAGATGTAATGTGTGTAGTTGCAGCCCTAAGGTGAGAGTTGGGGTTCATTTTGGAGACAATTCAGAAAAAGATACAGTATCTTGGTGTAGCTTTTAATAGCAAAAGGCCTCTTCAGCCTTGTCTCGGCTGGGTATGGATCCTCACTTCTCCTTAAATCATCAGTAAACAGAGATGATTTTACTGAATCAAATGTACCTTGCAAATTAATGGCTGTAAGGACCTGAGGCCTTGCCTGTTCCCATCCATCTGCTTAGGAAAAAGAGGAGTACATGTACAGCAACCTTCCATGCTTAGCACAGTCAGAGAAAATCCAGGACAGCCTGTGGCCAGAAGTGACTTCTGCCTGCATGTGCAGGGAGACTGTGCAATTTCTGTGGTTGATTTCAGTGAGACAGAGTGTAAAAAGGGGAGCTGAAACGCCTATTTCTGATGCAGAATGTGAATTAAAATAAACTAACAAAAATGCAAAGTTACTTCTTAAAAGGCACTGCTTAATTTACAGCTGAAATACTTTTAGTCCCCAGGAGTTAAAATTGTGTGAAGTGCGCGCTTGTGAGGTATGATCAGCATTTTTTGAGAGCTGGACTAGCAGTTAAAGCTGCCATAGCATTGTTTGTGCTGTAGTTTTCTCCGAATCACTTATGGGCAGTGTGATGAAGGTGTGATGCAGGTGAGAGAGCAGTAAACCATTTTGCCTCACTGCAGATAAGTCAAAGTGAGACAGCATAGGTAATGCTCTGTGAATTCTCATATAACCACTGCACAGTATTTTGTTCGCCTAAGTATATCCTCATCTCTAGTTAATATTTCTCTTTTGTACAGAACAAAAATCTGAAGGGGTGTCCACTCTTAAGAAAAACAGCAACTTTCACTTGCCGGGCATTCTTCTGCTTTTGGGATTTCTTGTTTTCTTCTCTCTCCTTACAACTGTAAGGACATGAATATTTTCTGCAGATTTTAATTCATACCTCCAAAGTCAGATTAAGAAATGTGGTGCCATTACAACAGCCAGGGTCAACCATCAACCCAGGCTAATTTAACCCGATATGAATGCAGCACATGTTTTAAGCATAAAGTAGAAAAAAAGCTAGCAGAATAATGAACTGGAAGTAGAGTTAAAAATGTAAATGTTTACTTATGGTGCTGTAGCCCTCTGATACATTTTCAGCATAGCTTCATGGTGGTGTTCAGAATAACCATTTTGGCTAAATCTCATATAGGAAAAAGAAAATATACCTCAGAAGTACAATTCTGAAGAATAAATAGTTTCATAAAATAGTATGAAAACACTTGTTATTCTGTCATGATCATATTCCTTAGCTGGGAATAACTGAAATTTTTATGTCCCTGAAATAATAAAGAGTTTTATATTTATTTTATTTGTGAAAACTCCTATGAAATAAAGTTTTAGCTGGGCTAACCCAAGGGAGAATCTTGTTTTCTTGAAGCTTCACTACCTCTTTCACTATCTGAGTGTGAACCAAGAATCTGAAAAGAAATCTAACCAGAGTGTTTGGATTTTGAACTTGAGACTGTTTGCATCTGAGGGCCTGTTTCAGGCTCGTTTTGGCATCTGAAGCAAGTGCTTGAGATAGCAAAGATAACAAGGGTGTTTCCAGTTAGCCACAGTGTGGCTTCCCAAAGTCGGGCAAGAAATCCTGCCACAGATGATTTTGCCCATGACCGGCTGTACATTTGCCCCTGATTTTGGGGAACCTAACAGCCCTTTAACGGGGAGAGGGCATCTCAGTATCTTTCAAATGAATGGGTATAGGCCACTTGCATCTTTTCAGTCTTACACTCCCAAAAAGTGATGGTTTATGTACCATGCTTTGCATATTTGTAAGCAGTGCCTTAGGAGAGAGGTAGCAATGCTGAAGCCACCACTGCCTCCCCTAACACAGCCACCTTTTCTACCCAGAGGCTGCATTTCACACATCTGCGGGGGCCTGAAGTAGTATATAGGGAAAATCTCTCTCTGATTTAAAAAATGCACAAAGATTTTTCTGACAAAATAACTCTTCATGTCCTGTGAAAACACACTGGTACAAAGGGCTTACTTAAACAGTCTTCACAAGTTCTTCTGGCCTGTTTTATCCCAGTCTTCCACATAAAAAAAACACAAACAAACAAACAAAAAAAAAGAAACAAAAAACACCAAACCCTGGAAATCCCAAATGGAAATCAATATTCTTTTAGGTAGTGTCTATTGTGACTTAATAATGGGCAGCAACATCATTATGTGTGACGAGAGAGGGTGAAGAATGGTGAAACTGATCTCACACAGGCTGGTTGAGAAGTGAAAGGATTGGAATAACCCTCAGAAAAATGGTGTGTGCATCTGCATTAAGCTAACACAGGATAAACAGCAAAATGAGAATACCTGTGTGGTCAGTGTTCCAAGGCACCTGACAGGACCTGGGTTAATGGGACCAGAATCAGGTAGAGGAACTGCGGTTGTGTTGTAAAGTGTGGCAGGATGGTCCATCCTTTGAGCAGCCTCCCCCACTTAATAGCATTAGGGAGAGCCATAATGAAACTTTTCTACCGATATCTAGAACCAAACACAAACAGCAAAATGTGAATTCCTCCCTGAAACATTGGTGTACTGAACTGACTTTGTCATAGAGAATGCACCCACAAAAAAAGAATAAAACTATTCCTTACATCTCTAAAGGTAAAGCAGAAAACTGTATCCCAAGTTTCTGGTATCTTGTTCTCCCTTATGATAGAAATTCTGGATCATGAGGGTACATTCATTTGCTTGTATGAAAATCCTGCATGTAGCATTGAAGAGTTTCAATCTTGAGATAAACCAGCTGCTTTTTGAACAGGAAAAGTCATGGCACACTGATGCATAGCAATGGTAAAAACCTTCTTCACAAGGACACTGCCCTCTCTTAGGGCTGCAGGCATGCACTGCCAAAAGCAAACACCACCTTTTGCCCTATCCAGCAGATGATTCAATAGGGAATTGATCAATATTTATGAATTCCTTTCTGTAAGGTACAGTCAACTTGTGTCTATTTATTAGTGATAATGAAAAAACTGAAAAAGATTTTGTGTGAAGTAATGAGGGGGAAAGATGCTTCACTTATAGCCCAGAAATCAAAAGCATTAATGAGTTTCATTGAGAAAATGAAATGCAAGCTTACAAAAGCAACCAGGTATCTGAAGAGAACACATAGGGAGATTAACATCCTCTTTTTAAATGTGAATATGAAACACTTATTTAACAAATTTATTTTACACATTTTGTGCCTTTTTATCCTAAATGATGTGTACAGCTCACTTGATGATCAAGTCAGACAGTGTCTTCCAGTATGTACACATACGTAATCTGCTATATCAGTATTTGGAGTATATTTCTCAGTGGTGTTATTAGTCTTTAGTATGATTGTTATTTCTGTTGCAGCTCCTAAATTTCTGCTTTTCACGTTTAAATATTTGTAGCTGTACTTGCATGCTGCACTGTTCTGGAAGAAATAATGTTAGCATATAACTGTACATTTTTTCTTTATATGAGAGTTTTCCCTTTTGGAGTAAATTTGAGTTTCAGATGACAGAAGTCATCCCTTTGTGAGGGCAGACTAGCGCCATGTAGTCTGATGCTCGATGATTAGACCACGAATATTTTCCATGGCTTCAGTTGAGTTAGTCTGTTGAATATTTTTTTCCATGAGTAACAGATCCAGGAGCTGACCCTTGATCACAGACTGACTGATCATTAGTACTGACAAGAGGTAAAAATGAGTTTTGAGTTCCTAAATGGCTTAGAAATTTTGTAGCTTCTGCACATACTTTGTGCTGCTTAAGTTGGATATTTGTGTCTGAGATTTGTCCATTATTATAAACGCAAGAGTTATTTTGGAAGATTATAACAAATCACATGTAAAATTGGATATCAATTTGTTGGTGCTGTTCCAGTTGTTTAGATCTATACATATAAAATACAAAACTAGCATCTCTGTATATTGCATTTATTTCTCTAAGCAATTTTTTTCTAACACCTAAATCAGAAAGTTCCTCTATTTAGTGTATGCTGGTTTTCACTAAAAAGCATTTAAACTGCAGCTGTCAGGTAAATAAATACCCGTGCAGTACTGAAGTGTTAGAAAGATATTTTCTCTCTTAAGAAAGAAGATAACAGAATCAAGTCTGCAAAGAGTTTGTTATACAGTAGACAAGTCGTTTGCTGTACCCTGACACATGATTGAATTGTTTTTCGGCTTCCGTCTTAAATTTTTTAATATAGAGTTGTGAAAAATTCATAGAAATAGGCACCAGAGGACTTAAATCACATTTAGGTGGCTGCAAAAGAAATAGTAACTAATTTATTGAGGGAAATTAAATTTCTGGAGCACAAA